AGACAGTTCAGATCCAATTAGATCACACCTGCAAGGCCCTGATGCCTGGCAGCTCCCCCAGCCCCGCCGGCAGGCAGCCTGGACGCCTCCCTCCCCACTTGCTGCTGAGCTGCGGGTTCAGCTTGTGTCTCTGGAAAGTCCTCAATCACCTGCCGCAGTTAGTATGCCAGGGATACATGGGGTTCCTGTGTTTGGCAGGGAAAAATAGGATTTATTTCTGATCCTATAATCTTCTGTAAATTTCAGGTTCATTGTTATAAACAGAGCCATTTAATGATTACCCACATGGGAGAAATGAGAGGAATAGATTCCTGATTTCTGTCTCCTTGGGTTCAAATTCTGACTGTGCCACCACCTTCTAGCTGTGGAACTCAGGGAAATGCACTGAACCTTCCTCCCCTGGAAGATGGCAGAATGAGACTACGAGACTGTCACGTCCAGTGTCGAATAAAGAATCAATGAGCTATGTCGAGGGCTATTTTCAGAGCAGCGCTTGGCACATAGCAAGCATCCAATATAGTTAGCTGCTGATAGTAATTATGATGATGACTACACTAACGCGCCTCAGCAAGTGGAATAAGTTATGACAGGTTTCCACCGCAAGGTTGGGAGACTCATGTTCACCAGCTCCTTGCAAAACTCTATGTTGGGCACATTCTGCCCTGTCACTCCGCCTCACACGTGAGAGCTTGTCAATAAATGTCACCTCCACCACCAGCTTGCTGCCCCCCGAGTCAGCACGCTTGGGTGATCCTGCCTCTCGGGGGACCAGGAAATGATGTTTCTCCGTAGTCAGACAAGCCCCGGTCAAAACAATCAGCAGTGGTGGCTCTGAGTCGGATTTTCCGAGACAGGAGGCGTGTGGCCCGGTGGAAGGGGCAGGGGCCTGGGAGACAGAAGCTGGGCACCACACCTGCTTCTGCTGCGTGGCTCTGGGCAAGTCGCTTCCCCCTCTGGGCCTGGGCCGCATTCTGCCTGGACCCGGCCCAGTCCAGAGATAGTCCATTACGGCCTCTCCCTCACGTCTCTTTCGGAGCACGCGCCATGCTTGTAACGTCACGTGGACAGCTCTTCATTGACCTCTGGGTTCCTCTCTGCAGTCATAGCCCCTCTCGGTGCTCATTTTAATACTTGTCGAAAGAATTAATAAACGATGTGGTAGAAAAAGAAAGATCGGGGAGCGAGACAGACCTGATTTTGCATCAGAATTGGCTGCTTACTAGCCGAGCGACCCTGTGCTAGTCTGAGCCTCAGGACTGTCACCTGTAAAAGGTAATAATAGAAACGGCCTCGTACCAGGTTGTTGAGGACTGAATGAGAACATGTGCACACACACACACACCATCAGCAACGACGACGACAACCCTGGCCTGGTACCTAGCATATAATGGGCATGAGATAAACAATAGTCATTGTTTACTGCTCTTGAGACTGGCACAGGGGGATGGAGTATTCTGTGTTCTGAGGATTAAAAACTAGTTGGAAAGGGTAAATCTGAATATACATTTCCAGTCTTTGAGAGGGAGAGGGCTCGCCTGCCCAAAGCAGTTGGATCACAAATAATTTCACAACCCTCCCCCCTCCCTCGGCCTGCCAGTGACCTCCCCCCACCCCCCGCCTCCGTCTTCTCACTCTCCCTCCCTTCTGTCCTCACTGAGTTTCTGCCAGCACTGCTGTGTGCCCACACCCCAGACCCAGCGGACACGGAAGAGAATGAGGAGCGAGGGGATAGGCCAGGGCCTGCTGTGGGTGGGGCCACGAGGAGACCAGGTCCCCGTCCTACCTCTGGCCTGACCCGTGTGATCTTGGGCAGGCCACCTCTGCAAGCCCCACTCTTCTCGTCTGTGAAGTGTTAGTTAGCCCTTGGACACAGCACGGGACCGTGGTTAAGGAGCCTGGCTGGGGGTCTCCAGTTTAGAGCCGGCTTCGTGTCTCAGCTCTGCAGCCTACCAGCTGGGAGATGTGGGCAAATCGAGTACGATTCCCAAAATAGATAAACAAACAATGGGACTCACGGGCTTCTTTGGAGGCATGAATGACACAGTCTCTGCGGAGAGCCTAGCAATCCATGTGCAGTGAGTTAAGACTGTTGGCCCAGCGGCCGGCCCTTATTCTCACTTAAAGCGTCTCCACGTGGAGGAAGCCGAGGTTTCCCCGAGTCAGAGGCACGGCCCTCAGCCGTCCTGCTGGCTCAGCGCTTGGCAGGCGCCAGACTCTTTCTCGGCGAAGACACGCTCCCCACTGGGTGTGAGTGGTGTCAGCCCGCGTGCCGTTATTTTACTGCAGGGCCCAGGCCCCTCTCGTGTGTCTGCGTGGGTGTGGACTTAAAGGAGCGTCTTCTGTCTCCTCTCTCTCCTGGACCCTTCCTTCAGGAGGCCTCGTGGCTCACGCTCCTCCTTCCCTGAAATGCAAGCGCCCCCTGGTGGCCCCAATCCAGGGAGGACCTGCTGGCCCTCTCTGCTCTGTCCTGGAGGCTGAATGGCCGCTTCCTTACTCCTCGCTGCAGCCACTGCCAGGAGGGGAAAGGCGGGGAGAACACTGAGAGTCCAGGCTGGGGGCCCTGTCTTTGAGGGGAGAGCAGACCCCACGTAGATGGGCCCACCCCGGCACGCAGGCACTGTGCTAGGCCTTTGTTTTACCATCTTAACTACGTTGTGAAGTTGGGATGACCGATCCCCTCTTTGTACATGAGGAAGCTGAGGTCCTGAGAAATGAAACAAGCTGCCCAAGGACGCACAGCTAGCGGCATAGCCGGGGTTTGAACCTAAGCTGGTCTGAGGCCCCGAGTTCTTGCTCTGCTGTTATACCGCCACTGGGGTAGGAGGGCAGGGATAGGGCTGGGGCCGAGTGGGCACCCTTATATTCACTGCACCGCGACAGAGGGACATGGTCGCACAGTATTTATCCAGCCAGCTTCCAGGGCTGTCACCGCTGTGCACCCGTGGGGTCCCAAGAGAGGGGGCAGAGCGAGACGGGCCTCCAGGCCCCCCTCTGGATGGCAGGCCCGGCGCCCTGCTGCAGACTGTCACAGACAGACAGCATGTGGCCAGGAAACCACTGACCTCTGGACGCCTGTCCCTTTGCTCGGTGTAACCGCCATGGGAGGGGACAGCAAGGACATCGGAGGATAGAGAGTGAAAGGTGAGAGGTATTCTGTTTCCTCCGGAATGTAACAAAACACGAAAATTGGGGGGGGGGGGCATTTAAAACGTGTCCTCCGTGGTGCTGAGAGAAGAACAAGAGCTGTAGGATCGGATGGGTTCACACTCACATTGGAATCCCAGCTCCAGCGCTTACCGGCTTTGCAGCCCTGGGCGAGTTCCCTCGCCACAGCTTATTCTTTAAAATTGCTTGCTAGGGTCATCAGGACTTTGAAAAGACAAGGCGTGCAAAACCGACGGTGAAGTGTTCCCCCGATAGCCGAGCCCCCCAGTGGCAGGGGTGAGCAGGGCCCGTGGAGATGGCAGCGGCCTCGCACCTGGCGTCCCTGGCTCCACGCTGGCCCGCCCGCCCCCGCCATTCACATCTTCTTCGTTGCAGTCAGAGCAGCCTTCTTAAAACCCTGAGTTAGGCACTGCTCCCTCCCTCCATGCACCTCTGGATGCGGTCTGCACACAGTCCCTCGGACCCAGGGTCTCGTCCCACTCACCCCTGCAGCCACATCGCCCCCCCTCATGCCCCGCCACCCACGTCCCCCCCGCTCCAGCTGCTCAGAGCGTGGCTTCTCATTTTCCAAAGGAGCCACATGGTCCCACGTGTCTTCCCTCCACCTGGATTGCGTCACCACCATCCCGACTCCCCAGGAAACTCCCACCCCTCCTTCAGGCCCAGCACGGGTATCTCCGTGACGCTTCTCTGAGCACAAGTGCCGTTTCCCCCAGAGCCTCCCGCCATCGTCACATCCCATGCCCTGTGTGTGTGGACTCGTCCTCCCCGCCGACCGTGAGCGGGCCAGGGACAAACACTGCCGCCAGGGGCCTCCGGGCATCCCCCAGGCTGGTCCACTGCGGGCACTTCGTCGTCAGACCCAGCCCTGGCTGAGCCCTCACCCTGCACCAGGCACTCCTTCCACCCTTTACATGGTATACAGCTGATTTTCACAGCAGCTCCGTGAGACAGTGTATGCGTCAGTCCTGGCCAGAGGCAGAAACCATACCAATTATTTGAATAGGGAGTCTTTAAAAATGATAACTAGATACAAAGTGTTCACTTGGTAACAAAAAAAAAAAAGCAAAAATAGAAAATTGCAGGGAACAGTTACCACGCCTGGAATGGGAGGAACAGAAGTGGCAATTACTGTAACATGGTTGCATGGTGGGGCTGGAGCGCAGACCAGACCCGCGGTGGAGTCAGCAGGCACCTCCCAGTGCAGCAGCACTGGGCGGAGCGGGGAGGCTGAGGCGGCTGGGTCCGAGTGTTGGAAAAACTGCAGAAGTGGAGTTAGCCGCTGCTGGTGTGAAGAAGGGAGGTGGGGTGGCAATCTCAGGACCAGGAAGCGGCGGGAAGGAGCGAGTTCTCTCTTCCTCCTGCAGACTGTCAGTCTCCCTCCCGTGGCCCCCGCTGGCAGCAGCACCCAACAGGGCGCAGCGGGCAGAGCAGGAGAGGGTTTGCGGAGTCCGAGCTCCAGCCTCACAGAGCGGGGTGTGGGGCTGAGAGGGGAAAACGTGTGCAGTGGCACACGCAGAAGCTGTTACTAATTCCTGTGTCACAGATGGAGAAACTGAGGCACAGAGAGATTGAGTAACATAACTTGTCCAAGATTAAATGACTCCCTACGGCGGAGCGAGGAGTTGAACCCAAGCAGTCTGTGCCTTTGCTCTTAAACCAGTCTACTGTAAATGGTGAATGAATGAATGAGGGAGGGAATGAGTGAGTGAATGAATGAGTGTGTGAATCAATGAGTGAGTGAATGAATGAATGAATGGCAAGCCCAGTGCCCCGCTGTGGCCCCCACAAGCATGAGGCCCTCCCTGCCTGACAGCCTCCTTGTGCCCTGCCAGGTCATTCACTGGAACTCCCCCAAGAAACTGCGGGTGAAGAACAAGCACGTGGAGTTCTTCCGCAACCTCTACCTGACCTTCCTGGAGTACGACGGGAACCTCCTGCGGCGGGAGCTGTTCGGCTGCCCCAGCGAAGCTGACGTCAACAGTGAGAACGTAAGTGGCTCCCGGGGCTCGGCAGCGCTGGCGTGGCCTCTCTGCTGGCCGACCGAGGACCTGCCGTGTGCCCGGCTCCGTGCCAGGCCCTGGGCATACCTGAGATGAGCAGGTGCCCCCTGGGGGGCAGACAGACAGGCACGGAGGTGGGTCCCCGCCGTGCTCCCCACGGTGGATGCAGAAGGGTAGCACTTGGTCCAGACCAGGCGCAGTCAGACGTGAGTTTCCAGGCGGAGCAGCCAGACTGAGCAGAAGCACGATCCAATCAATAGATGAAGGGGCCTCCCCGCAGCCAGGAAGCTCTGAGGTCTTCGTCGACACGGCAGCCCCACAGGAGCCCCAGGATTCGGTGCCATTAGTGTGTGAGGTGACCCCACAGATTTTCGCAGGAAACCGACCCCTTTGGGGGTTAGCGTGGGTGCAGAAAGTGTTCGGTGAGTGGTCACAGGCATAGCCAACATCCATATTTTCTTATTTCTTCGTCATTTATCACTGTTTTCCTGTTACGTCTCGGAAACTCCTAGAAACCCCTTCTTCCTTTTCAATTAGAGCTGAACAAATTTAGGCACAGAGAGGTTGAACAGGTCGTTCATGGTCACACAGCAAGCAAGGAGCGAAGCGACTTGAAGTTCTGAGGAGCAGGATGCAGGGAGGCAGCAGCACATTGTAGCAGAAAAAGCAGGGAGCGTAGGGGTCGGGATGGCCTGGGCTGGGCTTTAATCCCTTCCAGGTACCACCTGTGTGACCTCAGGCAAGTTTCTCAACCTCTCTGTTCTTCAGTTTCCTCAACTGTCAAACAGGGATGAAAAACTATTACCAGGACGCTGTGAGACTAAGTAAGAAATTGAATGTAAAGCATCCGGATCAGTGTCTGTCGTGTGTTAGGTGCTTGATAAATATCTGTTCCCTACCCTTTCCTTGACCCTTAGTATTAGAAACAGAAGTCATTGGTGCATATAGTCAGTCAACAAACATTTACTGAGGGTTTTCTTGTTCTGAGCACTGAGTATTAGTCAGTGAAAAAGGGTAATGGCCCCTGTTGTCATGGTGCTTATATTTTAAGGGGAAGCGATTGGTACACACACTATCAGGAGAAATCATCAGCCAGTGGCAAGTGCTACCTAGTGATATATTAGAAAGCAGAAGGGCAGCTCTGTTGGTTTGGGGGATCTGGGAGGGCTTCCCTGAGGAGGTGACATTTCTTCTAAGACCTGAATACAATATGAGAAAGAGCCAGCCTTAGAATGCAAGGGAGATCGGGGGGATACAAATCAGAGCCACAGTGAGATACCATGTCACGCCTTTCGGAATGGCTTTTATCAAAAACAAAAGGTAGCAAGAGTCGGCAAGGAGAGACTGGAACCTGGCACGCTGCTGGTAGGATGTCAGCTGGTGCAGCTGCAGTGGAAAACAGTATGGAGTGTCCTCAAAAAATTAAACAGAGAACTGCCTTATGATCCAGCAGCTCCACTCCTGCGAGTGTGCCCAGAGGAACCCCAGAGAGGGTCAGGAGGTGGTATCTGCACCCCATGTTCACGGCGGCACCATTCCCAGTAGCCAGGGGGGCGAGCATCCTAAGCGTCCACTGACAGACAAAGGACTGAAGACAACGTGGTTGATACACAGTGGAATATTATTCAGCCTTTTTAAGGGGTGGGGGGAAGGCCTTACCACTGTGACATCATGGGTGGACCTGTGACATCATTCTGTCCCTCCTGCATGATTGCTCAAGTATGAGGCATCTGAAACAGCGAAACGTAGAGAAGTAGGCGGTGGGGTGGTGGTTGTGGGGGATGCGGAGAGAGAGGGGAAATAGTTGTTCAGGGGGAATAAAGCTCCCTGTGTATGCTTTTTTTGTGTGTTGATTATATATCTCAATAAAGCTAGAGGGGGGAAGGAGAGGAGCACAGGAAGCGCCTCTTGGGGGAGTACTGCGTACCGCTCGCAGGTGCGAAGGCCCCGGGGCAGGGCAGGTTTGCTGTCAGAGCTGCAGGATGCTGTCTGTGTGCCCAGGGCTGGTGGGGGCGGAGGGCAGCCGGAGGAGGGGAGCAGCAGGTAGGCAGGAGCCAGGCTGAAAGGATGGCGTGAGCCAGGTTCAAGAGTCAGGATTCTGTGGTATTACTGTTACTGCTCATATTCTGATCTTGGACGTCCTGAGGAACCTTTTAGGCTCCCAAATGGCAGGGGAAGGCGTCTGTGGGAGGTCCAGAGGCAGGCACCCACCTGGCCCTGGTCACCAGGCCACCCCTCTAGGGGTGATCCCTGTCATTCGGCCCCAGGTTCCCGTGGAGTCGCCTCTAGCTCCGGCTCCTTTCCCTGCATCACCCTGGAGGCCTGTCTCGGCGCCTGCCCGTTTGCACCGCTGGCAGTAGCGGAAAGAAAACCATTAAGCACTTGAACTCTGTCTCAGACGCTGGGAAGCACTTTGAGGTTCCGGCAAGCACTGTGTTCTTTCGGTTTGTTCCTCGGTTCTTTTCACTCAAGTCAGGATTCGTCGTCATCATCGGCATCTGAGTGCCTGTTCGGCGCTTTGTTCCAGACGCTAAATAGAAACTGTTCTTCTGCCTCTCTCTCTCTCTCTTGTTTCCCTCCACGGAAGAGGCTCCTGGAAGAAGCCTTGCAGGGTGAAGCTGTCCGTTACTCATCACACCAGGGGTTCCCCTGGTCTCTTCCAGTGCCTTAGAAGGCAGGACTCCCTTTATGAATGACTCACCAGCTTTTCCTACCACCTGCTGCCCCTCTCCAGGGGTCTTGGGGGTGGTAGTGGAAGAAGAGCCCCCCATGCTCCTCCTCAGAATCTGTGGCTGCATTTATTTGCTCAGTAAACACCTGTGAATGCTGGCCACCTGCCAGGCACCGTGCAGGGCACTAGGGTTGAGATTAGAGACCGGCCCAGTCCCCTGTATGTGCACTGTGTGTCAGGGGCAGACAGACAGTCTGTCCAGGTTTGGGGACAACCGTGAACCAGAGAGCGGCCTTCTGTGAGCGCTCACCCCAGCTATCCTCCCTAACACTCTTGCCCTCGGCACTGGAAAAGCCAGGCTCACCACCACCTTTGCCGTTCCTTCTACATCCCTGCTCACTGCCGCCCCCTACAGGGCCTCTGTGCTTGCTTCCCCCATGCCTGGACCACCCTGCCCCGAGGTGTGTAAACGTCTCAGGTGCTGCCTCTTCAGGAACTTCCCCTGACCCTCCTCAGCCTGGAGAACCCTCTGTCACTCTCTGTGAAAAGAGCGAGTGCGCTCTTTTCTTTTCATCAGAGTGTATCGCACCAGCCACGACTGTTCCCTAGTGTTTTCCCCAAGGAAAAGACCATTACATTACAGATTTTGCCCATACTGTTTGCCTCTGAGGTGCCCTCCTCCAGAGTGGAAGCGAGCACAGAGTGGCCACTTAATAAACATTTATTGAATGAATCGCACACAGAAGAGGGAAGAAGGAAGTTACCAGGTAAAGGCAGAGCAGATGAAGGACTAGAGAGGTCAGCTCCGGCCGTGGGGCTCAGCTGTAGGGAGCGTCATCACGTACCCCAAAAGGCTGTGGGTTCGATTCTCTGTCAGGACACATACCTAGGTTGAGGGTTCATCCCTGGTCAGGACGCATGCGGGAGGCAGCTGATCGATGTTTCTCACTGACATGACTGTTTCTCTCTCTCTCCCCCACCCCCATCCTCTCTAAAAATTAATAACCGTGTCCTCAGGTGAGGGTTGCAATAAAGAGGTAGAGAGTTCAAAGAGAACGTGCTGGGTGTTTGTTTGCTAGGGCCTGGGCACGCCGGGAGATGGGCAAAGAATGAACTGACCGGAAAAGCCTTGGCTGTAGTTAGGGGTTTAGACTCCACCGAAGGGCTTTGATCTTGGTGGGATTTACATGTGAGAAAACTCGCTCTGTGTAGAGAACAGATGACAGAGACGAGACCGGAGGCAGGTCTTGCCTCCGTGTAGAGACGGTCACCGCATCCCAGGCAAGAAGGTGACGACAATAGGGCTGTGACCTCGGCCAGCAGCCGTGGGGACGGAGAGAACAGGTGGCTTGCTTCGTGGGCACTGAGGACAGGGGACAGGGGCAGCGGTCACTGAGGGATCAGGACGGCAGGCGTCTGTGCCCTGCTCCAGCCGGGCCCCTCCGGCGAGCAGGCACTCGGCGGCAGGGCTGGGACACGAGGGGGCCTGCCGCATCGCGCCCCTGGGGCCGCGCCCCTGCAGGGAGTCCTCCACCTCCTGGTCCTCTGCAGCCTCGAGTGTTGTCTGCAAACACGACCAGAGGAAAAGGGCAAGGCCTTGGATCTGGCCCAAAGCCGGATGCTCCCCGCTCCGGGGGAAGAGGTCGTTAGCACCCTGACGAGTGCACACAGATGGCGGTAGTCTCCGAGGAGTGACGTCCGGAACCTCTTCATTGGACTGCGGATCCCAGAGAGCAAGGGCTCCAGGGGCACTGCATGTCAAGGCTCCTTCAGCCACCTGACATGCAGCCATTCAGTCAGTTGCCAGCCTCAGGGCTGGGGGTCCAGGGGGAGCATGGCAGACCCAAGCCTGGCTCTCACGGTGCTTGTCTCTTAGGGGGCAGACAAAGCGGAGGGGGAGGGTGTTACCCAATGTGGGGAGCCCAGATGACAGTGGTGCTTTGAGAGCACACGAGAAGGACATCGAGCGCTCACTAGGGGAGAGGAGGTGATCCGGGAAGACTTCCTGGAGGAGGCGGGATTTGAAGGGTGAATAACGAGTGGGAGGTGTGGAAAGTGGCCTTAGCGGGAGGGAGGGAGCAGCCCTGGCAGCGGAGAGCAGAGATGCCCAGGAGCGTGGCACACTCCCATTCGGGCGCAGGCCGTGCGAGAACATAACGGGCTGCGCCAGTTCAGTGTTTGCGCTGTTACGAGGTCTTCCCAGCGGAGGTGGTGGTGGCAGTAAGACTGAGAGCGCTCCGGGCATCCCAGGTGGCTCACTGTGACAGTTACGTGACTCCCAAGAAGCCCCGTGGCTGCTCTGGCTTCGGGTTCACCG